TATATATATATATACAGTATATATATAGGCCTATATACATACATACATACATACATACATGCATGCCGTGCATATACAGTATATGCATATCAGCAATGAGCATATTAGAATTTCTGAAAAATCAAGGGACATTGAAGGCTGAAATAATATGGCCCTACTTTATGAACAGAAAAAAAAAGCAATCAGGTAAGGGGCCAAAAGATTTTGTTTTTGAAACAGAAAATCAAAGCACGCTGCAATAGATATAACCAAACCCAAACACGGAGTCCTCTTTTCCGAGCTGAAATAAGATGAGGCTGTTTGCATTAGAATTTAGCACATTAAGTGGAAAGGGCTTGATTTTAATTAACATTATCGACTGGCAGTTGTTTAACCCCCTCCATGCACCATTTATCCTCAATTACTGACGACACACAGAACTGACGGGAAGAGTCAGGAAGACGAGTGGCTGGTGGGAGGGTTTCTGCGGCTCTCTTACCCAGGTTTCCTGTCATCAGGTAGGCATTGTGGAAGTCTTTCATTCCCAGCCCGACGATGTGGATGAACTCTTCAATGACCTGCATGAGCTCCACAGACCCTGGGTAAATCTGGGAAAAGACAATCATAGGGAACAAATGAGAGAAATGCTACTCTATTTGCGAATGAATATCAAACACAGATACAAATCTGATGGATTTTAGATGGATTTGAAATCCAATTTTATATTTAAACGAAATTAAATCCAAGTTTTTTTGTGTCAAATTTGAAGGTTTAAAATAATATAGCTAAAAGATGACTAAAATGAAAGAACCAATGATAAAAGACAACCAGAACCAACGACAGAATAAATGCTAGCCCAAAATTTTACAAACGAATAAATAAACAACAGAATAATAGATAGAACGATAGATAGAATGACAGACAGACAGACAGACAGACAGATAGATAGATAGATAGATAGATAGATAGATAGATAGATAGATAGATAGATAGATAGATAGATAGATAAACACAATTATAGAACGATTAATAGAACAATAGATAGAACAATATGATAGAATGATAGAATGTTAGAACATTAGAACAATAAAACGATAGATAGATAGAACGAGATAGACAGAACGATAGACAGATAGATAGATAGATAGATAGATAGATAGATAGATAGATAGATAGATAGATAGATAGATAGATAGATAGATAGATAGATAGATAGATAGACAGACAGACAGACAGCAGTCAGCCTAGTAAAAGCACTCCGACCGACTCTTTTGGAGGGAGAATATACAGACTTTTTAAAGGGCACTTCCTCTGTATCTCACAAGAGCCCTGCATACTGTCTGCTCAGTCCTTCACAAAGACAAACTCATGCAGCAGAGTGATTGTGCAGGGCTCAGAGCCTCTCTAGAGGACCAGCCATCAGTGTCAGAGCAAATGTGGTGGAGGAATTCAGGCCTGTGGCTCACCGCCTCCCGATTCCACAGCCTCGGCCTGTCAAAGTACCTGCTCTCTTTCAGTCAATAGCATCACGCTCTACTGATCCAATCCTTGACCTTCAGGTGTCTGAACTCGGCTATTTACATCTGCCATCACTCTGAAAGTCTGAAAGATCTTTAGAGGGAACAGAAGGGCTAGGAGAACTTTTATCAAGAGCAGGCCTTTTTATTCAGACTGGATATTTAAAAATAAAAATATTCAGTTAATCATTATTTAAAGTCAACTATTAAATGGCACTATTTTATTCATTAAGTGGAATCAAATGGTGAGAAGAGAGGGGTTGAAATATAAGAAGGATTCATGATGTCACACTTTTTTGTCACATACATTTTTATTTATTTTGAATAGTGTGCATCAATAAAAATGAGTAAGTTTTTTATCAGTAGTTAATGATAACTAACATGAACTAACAATGATCATTGATATTTTTTACCGCATTAACCTTTGTTAATAAAAATGTTAATGTTCAAGTTAGTATATATCTATATATTTTTATAAAATGTATTTTTATATAATTATTATAATGTAATATAACTTTAAAAAAATGTATTACTAAATGTCGATATTAACATTAAGATTAAGAAATGCTGTAGAAGTATTGTTCCCATTAACTAATGTAGTTAAATATGTTAACCTTACTGCAAGGTTGTGTGATCTTTGTCAGTGTTGTTAATAAACTAAAAGTATGAAAAATATTTGCATTAATAAAAATAAAGCTAAAGTGAAATAAACTATAAATATCATATGAAAAACTTTAAAAATTAGAAATGTTGCCTAGGCATCTAACTGAAATAAAATGTTTAAGGTGAAAATAATTTTAAAAAATGACAAAAACATAACTGAAAACATAAAAATAAAAGCTAATTAGAAATAAAAAACAAAACAAAAAACACTACAATACTATACAAATAATACTAAAATAACACTGCACTGTTTGCTATACTAGTTTAATCAAGACTTTCTCATGCCAAGTTGTCTTAACCCCTTTACCCAGCAGATTTACAGTATGGATTTACATGCCATATGACACTGTGCTTCCCATTTCTCTCATCTCATTAGCATCTGAACCCCCTCTCCTCGTGACAACAAACAAAGCACAGAAACACATTGCAGCCAATCTGCAAAAGACAAAAAATAAAAAAATAAATAATAACGCGGGTGCAGAGAAATAGCACTGAGTGACATTTCATAATTAGCACCATTAGTGAGGTGCAGAAACAGGGCGATGGAGTCACATATCTAATAATCCCCCTGGCAGGAGTCGGGCTCTGCATTCGCATGGGGGCCGATCTTGGGCCAAGCCAATAAGACAGGCTGCAGACGGGCAGAGAGATGCTGAGGGCCCATCCCCCCCTCGGTCAGACTGCTGGGGGACAGCAGAGAGCATCCCTCTCCATGGCAACAGCGCTGGGCTGCTGAAGTGTGCAGGGAAGACAGCAATGCGGGAAATGGCCGAGGCTGACGGCCATTAGATGAACCAGCACTGCTGCTGCACTGAGTGTCATGCAAATACAGTAAATTGTGCTGTCATATATATTCTTTACTGTCATATATTTTCTGCACTGGTGCACTCTTCTGCTATATAGATTTTAGCCATAAGTCACAAGTATATCCAACTAACAGGCATGAACATAGCGCATTTACACCAAAATACAAAGGCAACTTCCTTTGCTAACATCTTTGGTGATGGAATATTATATTATAAAAGCTATTCATATTATATATTTAACTAAATACATTTTGAAGGATTTTTGTATATATAAATTTTGTATTATACATATACGTGTGTGTTAAATGTATAGTTACAGCTTTTATAATAAAATCGAATCTAATAATATTTTAATTAATTTTTTATTAATATAATTTATCATTACTATTCCGCTATACAGAATAGGATCTTTTATACTATACTTCAAAAGGCAATTTCCTTGACTGGCAGAAAAGTACCAATAATGCAAAATAATGCAAAATGTTTTTTGGTTATGTTATTTTATATTATAGCTATTAATATCATATATTTAACTAACTTTTCACGTGTGTGTGTTTGTTTGTGTACAGTATGTATGTATAATATAATATTACATTTTCACACATATTTTATATGTATTTACTATTATTATTTTGTATCCTATAGATTAGGATATGAAAGTAACTTTATCTCACTATTATCTACAAGCAGACAGCAAACCATCAGTTATTGAAACTAATGAACCTCATGTTCTTCTTTATTTTAAGCTGTGAATTTGCGAGGCAAGTCAAAGCTTCTTCTCTTAAGCACTTCCTTTCAAATTCCCCCCCTCCTTTGCCTGAACAGCACAGACTGTCATGAATCTGAGGTGTGAACTCTAGACTGGCAATCAAAGCTCAGGCGAACTGACTCTAAAGAAGAAGACAAGACAGACAGACAAGATCAAATCCTGGGTGATCTTTAAACGTCAGGGCTTTCTAAGGTCAATCATTTGACAGAGCCGGTGACAAGTGTCTCAGATGTCCTTTAATGATTTGAAGAGCTTGAAGATTCAATCTGTGACAAAGCAGAGGAGGAACGTGAATGGAAAACGGGAGTCCGTCTGCTCCGGGGACCGTTCCAACCAGGCAAAACACCTTTGGCAAAACAAGCAACCGGCTACGTGACCTGATCTCCGAACACACTCCTGACTTAAAAACATATCGCTTTTCTTTAAAAGCCTTGTGACACTGCCCTACTGTAAACCCCATTAAAGCGCTAATTCGCTTGACACCCGGCAGCCCGCTCCGCTCAAGAATTCGTGTTTTACCAGAACTCGGGTGAAAACATTAGACGAAGGAGCTCCAAAGCAGCTTACATTTGACAGACAGTAACATTACCACAGTCTGCTTAAGATGCATTACCAGTTCAGGCTTAAAGGAAAGAAAGAAACATTTAATACACTCAATTTGGTTCAGAGCAATAATAATATAGTTGGAGATTTTGTTTGAGTTTCTAAAGAACATTCAGCTTGTTGAAGTCCAAATCCCTCAGGCTGCTTTTACACTGTCTCTCAGAGAGTGAGAGAAGACAATGCCGTCACTGCTGACGGAAAGCATAAGAGCTGGACATATGCTGCCAATGTTGCTGCCACCAAGTGGATGCAGTGGATATTGCAAATGTCCTTCCACCAATCAGCACAGCAGGGAGGTCGGTACTTGGCAGAGAAGGTTTGATTTGACACAGCCCTGCCTGTGGAGACAGGCACCTCTTTGACCTGACAATTACCTAAAGCATCTGCACCGGTGATGGCAATCGATTCGCTGAGGGCTCATCACACAATATACAGCCGCAGAGTGACACACAACACCAGATACTCTCTGCGATGTGACCATAATAAAGCAATCTCGACCCCGAAGCTTCAAAAACACTCGTTCACAATGTTCAGACTCACCTGTTGTGCGTCTTCCCACTTTTCTCTGTTCTCCTCTTCCAGGAGATTGCTGATGATCTGAAAAAAATTCTGTGGAGAAAATAAATTGTAGTTAGTAAAACGCTGCTGTCACAGGAACAGGCTGGTAACATTATTTTGGGATACAGTTGTGATCACATTTCAGTCAATATATAATTTTATAGTTTGAAAAGTATAAATTTCAACGTGAATTGCAACCCATTTTACACCCAAACTTCAGCAAATATGAGTAAAATAGGAAACTGAACTTAAAAAGTAGGTGTTATATACCAATTTAAAAAAAAAGGTAAGATGCTTTTTAAAAACAAGAATTTTACTTCCGAAATGCAGCATATTTATGAGTAAAACAGGATATTGAACCTGAAAAGTGAGAGTTACATAACAGAGTAAAACCAATAATAAAAAAAAAACATTATAATACATTATTGTCCTTAAAAATGACAATGCATTATAATGCATGATATAAACATGAATATGATTTTTAATCATGTATTTTAAAGAAATGTGCTTTTAAAAGAATATAAATTTAAAGGAATTAAAACTGTATGATAACTATGGCTTTAACTATACATGACAACATTAAAAACAGATTCTGAGATGTATTATTAGGCATTATGAATGACTAAATTCATTCAGAACAACCTCATAATACATTTTTGAAAATTCTGTGTGTACATGCACAGTACCCACAGGATAATATTCTGCTTGTCAAGGACTATATACTATAACGGAAGGATAATGTTTAATGAATTTGCATAATAAAACACTATTTGTGGCCTTGATATATTTTTATTATGAAGCATTAAAAAAGCAATAATGTACTTGAGGCTCTGCCATTGTGAGAATTTAGCCTTGACTGTATTCATAAAAATAGCACAGCTTCTTGTACCTACTGCTTAAGTAGATACAAGTATTAAATTGACTTTAAATTGAAATTTTACACAGCCCTTGAAAAGGCAAACTAGAAATGCTCATATCTGGAATGTTTGAGGGGAAAAAAATCTACTCAGTGTTCCCTGAAAAGGCAATAATGAAGAATCTCCTTTGCATTTCAGAAGTCTAAACAAACAGTGTCTCGGGGAATTACACCGAGGATCACAGCACTGATTTACAGGGAGATGATGGGATATGTCCAGCGGCCTCGGCTCTAAAACACACCTGGGATTTCCTGCTGCTTTCAATTCAGGGATTGGTTGATCTTTCCTAAGCACTCGAATGTGCACAGAATTAAAGGGGAAGAACAGAGAGTGTTGGTTGAGTTTGAAGGCGCTTGGGAGAGCTGTCTACTCCAAGACTGGAAAGAGAGCTGATGTTTGCTGCGGTGACTGGGCTGAATGAGATATCCAGCTGGACGTGTGCCTGTCTTTTTTTGTTTGCTGCTCTGCCTCTGTGCCACGGAAGGCAGGAGAGAGGCAGCGTCTTGGCTCCGGCACGCTTGTTTTTCTACTTGAATGCTTATGCTCCCTCTGGTGGTAATGCGTCCACTTAAACACAGCATTAATACGTTCCAAAACACACAACCCACCCCGGCACACATGCGTGGGGAGGAGGGGCCGCTCCGGTTCACATCAGGGCTTAGATAAAACCTCCTACACCAACCCGACACACAAACATACACAAAATCACATTACACTCCGTATTATGTAAAAATACCCAGATTCTCACAAACAGGTCATGAGAAATCGGTTTATTTGGGCATTGGGAAGGTTATGACAAGGCTTTGAGATAGAATGAGATAGACTTAGTGACTATCTCTTATCAGCAGCTGGCGCACGGTGTCACAATCCCATAAGCTCTCTGTGAGGGGCAAGAGCGCCGAGATATTTATCAGTCACGGTGCCAAGTAGTGACATTGCCATTTTGAAGGTGCTGTAAGTGATTGGAGATGTTTTACTAACTTCCGCCATTTTGCTAACTTCAACCAAATACCTACAATATCTTGAGAAACCTGTCAGTATTCCCATTCATCTCGACGGCAGTTCCTTGACTAGAACATCACCCTCCAGAAACATGTGACTGGCATGCTGCTATCTCTGCTCATAGGCATTCTGTTCTGGAGATATGCATTTTAGAGCCAATCACATTGCCATGTGACTATCCTGAGTTGTAATGTCAGAGAAAGCAAAGTGGGAAAAATATAGTTGCACTTATTTTTAACCCATTTTAATGCATTTAATAACCCTTTAAAACATCTATATCATATAATTAAATATTTCCAATTTATTTTACCTTTCAAACCTTTTGGGTGAGTATAATTTTTTTAAATGTTTTTTGGAGGAAAAAAAAGTCACCAAGTCTGCATTTATTTGATCAAGAATGCAATAAAAACAGTAAAATTGTAAATTATTAAAATAAATGTATTTATTTCTGTGCCGGCAAAGCAATTTTTAGCAGCCATTAATCCAGTCTTTAGTGTCACATGATCCTTCAGAAATCATTATAATATTCTGCTCAAGAAGCATTTCTTAATATTAGCACAGCTGAAAACAATTGTGTTGGAAGCCATAATATATTCTTTGATTAATATAAAGTTCAAAATAACATAACTTATTTGAAATATCATCTTTTGTACCATTATAAATGTCTTAATTGTCACTTTAGATTGATTTAATGCATTCTTGGTGGATAAAAGCATTAATTTATAAAAAAATAAAAAATAAAAAATTCTCTTTGACCCCAAACCCCTGACCCATAGTGTAAGACAAATTAATTTACCACAATGCCTAAATGAAATGAGCTATAAGATGTATATAAGCACGGAGGTTAACAAGAAACCAGATTATTTTCTCTCTTACCTGAACGTCATCAGAAGAGGGTTCATAACTGGCCCTTTTGAAGGTGTCTGTGACGTTTCGAAGAATCTCCACTGAAGAGAGAAGGTCACCTGCATAGAAATTGCGTCTTTGGGTGAGGTCCAGGAGGACCTTCGTAACCTGGGACATGCCATCTCCTGCCAGATTCCTCTGACCTTTAGCAAGGTGCCCCTGGACCTAAAGAAAGACACAGGGAAAGAGACTGGGTTCTGTGTCCTTCAAAGACTGTAACACTAACATAACACTATCGAACTATCGTTAGAATTAAAGGTGAAGTGTGTAATTCCTCAAGCAACATTAAACAAACTGTTTATAGAATGATGTTTCTCAAACACTGTCCTGTCTGATATAGGCTGGATGAGTAGATAGTCCCACCCCAAAATAATGCCGTTGGTTGATGCAGTATTGCTATGTTGGACTGATCAAGATGCTCTAACAGAACAATTTTGTTCTGAACAAGTTTTGATACTTTGATATAGGAAATTAAAACATGTTAAGACTTAAAATATAATGCAGTCTTTACATTTTCAGAAGAAAATATGAGTGGTTTGCCTACCCTGTTGAAAAAACAGCATATGCTGGTTAGGTATGTTTTGAAGCATGATAGGTATGTTTTGGCAGCTGGTTTGAGCTGGTCCTTAGTTGGTCATGAGCTGCTTTAAGCTGGTCATGTGCTGGTCCTAAGCTGGTCATGTGCATGTCCTAAGCAACTTGCTCCTGCTCAGGACCAGCTCATAACCAGCTTATAACCAGCTCAGGACCAACTTAAACCAGCTCATGACCAACTAAGGACCAGCTTAAACCAGCTCAAACCAGCTGCCATACTTTAAAACATACCTAACCAGCATATGGTGTTTTTTTCAGCAGGCTACGCAAAATTTTAAGGTGTTCTCAGTGGTTTTACTGTAGCTTGTTGCTATGCAGTTGATGAGTTGTTTTAAAGGGGTGGGGTAACACTTTACAATAAGGTTCATTAGTTAACTACATTAGTTAACATGAACTAATAATGAACTGCACTTATACAGCGTTTATTAATCTTTGTTAACGTTAATTTCAACATTTACAAACACATTATTAAAATCTTGTTAACATTAGTTAATGCACTGTGAACTAACATGAACTAACAATGAACATCTGTATTTTTATTAACTAACGTTAGTGAAGATTAGTAAATACAGTAACAAATGTATTGCTCATGGTTAGTTCATGTTAGTTTATACATTAACTAATGTTTAACTAATGAACCTTATTGTAAAGTGTTACCAACGGTTTAGCCTCTGGCTACAGTTGCCAAGCTGTTCTAAACGGTTTTAAGCTTGTTGTGTTCTAGGTGGTTTTAGGCCATTTCTATGCAGTTGGCATGGTGTTCTAGATGGTTTTAACCTGTTGATAAGAGGTTGCTATAGGTGCCTGCTTACTCAGTCAAAAAAGTAAAAAAGGGTTAAATATTTTAAATGGTACTATTTCATTACAATTAGAACAGAAAATGATTGGTTTACTGTATTTTTGATCAAATAAATGCAGCCTTGTTGAGCATAAGAGTTTTTGAATGTTTTTTTAAAACACATAAAAAATCGTACCAACCACAAATGTTTGAACAGTAGTGTACAACTCAGTGGTTCCCAACCCTGGTCCTGGAGGCACCCCAACACTGCATATTTAGCATGTCTCCTTGATCAAACACACCTGATTCAGGTCATCAGCTCATTAGTAGTAAACACCTGAAATTGGTGTTTCAGAGAAAGGAGACATGCAAAATGCGCAGTGTTGGGGTGCCTCTAGGACCAGGGTTGGGAACCACTGGTATAACTAACTCAATTTTAAGCTGGGATAGGAGCATCAAAAAAATGACACACTTCACCTTTAAGCAACAGACCAATGAACAAACATGCATAAGTCACGCAGACATGATTTCATACACACTGACTCAAAGAAAGAGGCTAAAGTGTGCAGACAGAAGCATGTGTGTGTGTTAGGGGGGGTCAGGTTTTGCCTGGACTGAGAAGACCAAAAGCCCCACCAGGATAGTAAAACCTGACCAGCCAGCAGATCTCACAAGGGAAATGACTTAATAAAAATAATAAATAATGCCTTAATTAATTTTTTAACAGGCAAAAGGGTGTAAGAGCTAGGGGATAGAAAATATCATTACCTCAGTATAAAGCCGATACAAGTCAAAGGAAAGTCCCTTACCATGCTTTTCTCTCTCTCTGTGTGTGTATGTGTGTGTGTGTGTGTGTGTGTGTGTGTGTGTGAGAGAGAGAGAGAGAGAGAGAGAGAGATGTACCCAAAAGCTTGGAAATAACACAAAGTATTGCATTTGAGAAAGACTGAGATAAGAGGAAGCTGAAAACAAAAAGAGTGAAAATCATTCATTCGTGTCGAGCAGGTGCGCTCCCAGAAAAAGCTCCGGTGGAGCTGGAACAACAATCTCCAAGATTTTACAGGAAATTAGAGCGAGTCCTCCATTAACTCAGGGTCTCAAAAACTGCAATACTAGCGGTTTAATTTGCCTTTCCGATGATAGCCGTTTATCTTGCAGACCTGCGTGGTGGTCTGGGGTGCCGGGTGGGGAGGTACGGGTGGAAATATTTTGGGTGATCGTGACGACTGCAGGGGTAATTTATGGCACGACACAAACAGAAGCAGAGCGCAGGAAGCTGACTTTGCACCTACTGATTGCTGCAAGTATCTGTATTCATTTGCAATGCATCGAGCGTAGCTGGGCTGCTCCCAATAGGCCACCCCGCGGTGATCCAGTGAGCAGCGTCGACTAGTGGTGCCTGCAAAGAAGGAGGAGGTAGTAGAGAGAGATACAGAGACAGAGAAGGGGTTTATACTTGTTCTTGTAAGTCTTTTTTCCTTTTTCATTCTATCTGCCAGCCCACACATCTTTCAGCGAGAGGATAAAAGCAGCAGCCTTCATCATCATCTAGATGCGGCAGTTGCCAGATCACATGCGCCTCACATGTGCCACTGCAGTATATGCGTGCAAACAAACCAAACTGTAATTACGTGCTTTAAAGAACTGGTCGTAATTCCCACTCACAGAATTATGATGTTAACTGATGCCAGCTGTCATGCACCAATTTGACTTTTTTGTTTTTGACGACTGCGAACCGAACCCTGCAACCTGAGATATCAACAAGACTGCCGCCCACACTTGGGAGCGAATAAACACATGCACAAAATTCCTCGCCTCCGATCCGTCAGAGCATGTCCTACATGTATCGTCTCGCATTAAGACACGTCCTTGCCTTTGGAACAACCTCACCACACCCACCCGCACCCCTCTACCACACACGTCTTATCTGCTTTCGTTCCAACGCGGTTCCACCGCCTGCTACCCAGCCAGCAGCAAAAACGTCGGCCCACCTGAGACGCAGCTGCAGCCAGCCGCCTGCCCTCAAGCTGAGGCATCCAAGCAGGGACATCCAGCCCACAGATCACGGAAAACTCCCACAGAGCCGGATCAAAGCGGACGTTCTCAGAACTCACCATTAAAACGCATGCCGCCACTGAGGGGCCTAACCAGATTTAATCTCACACAAACACACAAAGATCACACGAACATCGTCCAATCGTGTTTGCGCACAAAATAGGACAACGCAAAAGTGAAAAGTTCTCATCCTGCATGTTTTATAGCCAATCATTCTTAATTAATCATTCCCTAAAAGCTTCAGCTACTTCCAACTGTTTGATTTTTGTTGCTTTCATTCGTTTTTGTTGGAGTTTAATTTAATTCCAGCCTCATAATGAATGAAGATTTTCCAGCATTTCATGGTGTCAGATCCCACTCCAGTGCTTTTGCACGACCTGAAATTTCAACGTGGGTTATGTGGAAAACAAACAATGTAAATCTAACTAATTCCACCCACGGGTTGACACACTGTCTCTTTTATGTATAAATGATATAATTAAATGTTCTCAACCCAAAATTAAAAAAAAATACAAAAGTACACACGGGCCTATGGCGGCAGTCCACCCACATATTGAAATATATCCACAAAAGACATTAATCCATCTATACACGCATTTGCAGTCAGCCTCTGCTCGCCTAGTTCTAGTTATGCTGGACTGTTCGCTGTTATCTCTGAGTCTGTGCCGCCTGCATTTTTTCATTTTTCCTCCAGCACCTGCTCTTTCAAGGACACTGTAGTGACATTGCAGAGCATCTTCACAACAGGAGATAGCAGGAGGTTACAGAAATTCAGTACAGCACCTTCTGCCATTTTCAGACCACAATCGGTAAGACTCACACCTCGAACCGATCCGAGGAGAGAGAGAGAGAGAGAAAGAGAGAGAGAGAAAGAGAGAGAAAGGGGACACCTCTATATTATATCTCAAAGATGGGGAAACGGTTTCTCTTTTTTTATATATTCTCCCTTTACGCTGCAGAAAGCGGCCTCGCAAAGATGTTGACAAAACGCTGGAGGGTTCAATGGTATGCAAATGACAAAAATCTCTAGGTACACACGGCATACGCCATTTAAAGGCAGTCGCAGCAGTGCTGAACATACTAGTGAGAAACATTTGTCATCATAGCCATCTGAATTTATGAATAATTTCAACATCATTGCATTGCAAAAGAAAAGCTGCACAAAAAACATAAGCTGTGCTCTTTTTCTTTTTTTTGAAAGCATCTATGATGCCATTCTATTCTTCCTTTGTGTCTTTGTGTTTGGCTGAGTGCTCTTCAACCACTGACTGTCGTGGCTTTTCTTACCCGTGGCGTTGGGAGGACACCTGTTGAAGGCCAGTTCCCCAGAGGGAGTTCTTCTCCACAGCATGGACACAGCATAATCCTCCGGGCATATTTCATAAGGAGCTATGGTTGTGTTTGGCTGAGTGCTCTTCAACCACTGACTGTCGTGGCTTTTCTTACCCGTGGCGTTGGGAGGACACCTGTTGAAGGCCAGTTCCCCAGAGGGAGTTCTTCTCCACAGCATGGACACAGCATAATCCTCCGGGCATATTTCATAAGGAGCTATGGTTCAGGAATAAAATGTAGACACACTTTTAAAAGAAATTTAAAAAAAAAAAATTGTTTGCATTATTATTTAAAGAACATTAGAAAGATTACAAGTAATTGATGGTGGAGAATGGGGGAAATGGATCAGAATATAATGCAAGCCAATTTTAATTTGACATTGCCCACATATAAATGCCACAGAATTTGTGGTCATATAAATGCTGCAATATAATATAAGGAAGTAAAACTGTATTTCTAATGCACTTATATTATATTATATTATATTATATTATATTATATTATATTATATATGTTCTCTTTATGACTGGAAATCATAAATCACTGGCCAGTCATACTTAAAAATGTTTGTAAAGACATTCCTGTTCCATCAATTTAATTGCAAAACTAATTTCAAGCATTTGAGATTAGGGAAATGATTAATTCTGTCAACAATACCAGTTTCTATAACTGTCCTTGTAACATACCTAAGTGTGTATGAAAATGAATATAAAGCACTGTTTCCATGGAGACTGTTTCTAATAGATGAGAATTGCATGACATCATTTATGTGAAATTAAAAATCCATTACTGGTAAAAATTGTGTTGACCATTCCTCGCTGGAAAATACAATTATGGTATATGTTCATTACTTCTCAAACGAATAATAATCCAGTGCAAAAAAACAGATATGGATTTCTGAATGGAAAAGATAATTATTCCGTCATCCGTCTCTCATTCACCCCTCTATGCCCATTCTGACATAATTGACTCTTGGGGCTCAATTATTCGCAGGGTTACCTGGGCAACGCTGCTCGCTGCATCTGCGGACCTCCTCCCCGCTGCCTTCGCATGGCTGCCCCGTGACCGCCAACCCCTGGCAAACACGTACCCTCCGCTGCCAACCACCGTCACAGGACTTAGAACACCCACTCCACGGAGCCCAAGCGTTCCACTGTCCGTTTGCTGAAAGACAGATGCAGGGGTCGAACAAAATAATGTGAAAACATAGAAAATGGGGAATGTTTATTCATTTAGTCAGGTATTAAGATGGCCAGGGTAGATGTTGGTTAAAGTTCATCTTGATGCTCTAACTGCACAGATTTTATGATCATGACACTATAATTTTCGCATTTTAGCATTGGTGTCTGTGATTAAACTTTTAGCGATTGTAGCTCTTTCATGGATGCTGACTTTGTAAAGTTGGTCAGTTTTTGTGGAAACAGGTTCTTCTTTTTTGCTGTGACTTTGCATCAGTAGTTCAATGTTGATGGTCCCTATCTTTCACCTTCGTCCAGTATTTCGCCTATTGGTTTTTGCCCAATATTCTTCTTTGCTGATGAAATCTTGACATGCTTTTTGTACACAGTCAAAAATGTAAAGACTGCTGCTCTTAAAACCCCAAATAATTGGGCTGTTAAGGTTACAGATGCACCTGCTAAACAGGCTCCCATGATTTGCCCTTTACTATCAAGTCACCTATTTCATCCACGACTTGTACTAAACACAGGTAAATACAACTTAAAAGGATACTTTATCCAAAAATGGCTGTCATTAATTCAGTCATCAATTCTGTCATTAATTACTCACCCTTGTGTCATTCCAAACCCATAAGACCTTCGTTCATCTTCGGAACAAAAATTAAGATATGTTTAATGAAATCCGTCAGCTTTCTGACCCTGCATAGACAGCAATGCAACTGACACGTTCAAGGCTAGTAAGCACATCATTAAAACAGTCCACTTGACATCAGTGGTTTAACCGCAATGTTATAAAGCTACGAGAATACTTTTTGTGCGCAAAGAAAATAAGAAGATAAGAAATTGCTGAATAAAGTTGTTATTTTAGTTTTCTTTGCACACAAAAAGTGTAGTGTCTCGTAGCTTCATAGCATTACAGTTGAACCACTGATGTCACAATGACTATTCTAATAATGTTCTTACTACCTTTCTGGGCCTTGAAAGTGGTAGTTGTATTGCTATCTACGCAGAGACATAAAGCTCTCAGATTTCATCTAAAACATCACAATTTGTCTTACAGGTTTTTAAACGACATGAGGGTGAGTAATTAATGACAGGATTTGATTTTTTGGGTGAACTATCCCTTTAAACTACACTGAGATACAATATAAAGAATAGAGACTCAAAGAATAGTCACAATATTAGTTTTTTCATTGCAGTCTACAATAAATAATAGGTGTTTGTATTTTTGTCCAACCCCTATATGTAGATGATCTGCACCTTCTTATTCTGTTCATTGTCTCTTAAGTTCCATCTTTCAAGCTCGATAATGACATTGCACCTTTATGTGGATGTGCACTCTTAAAAGTTATTCGAGCCATCTTCTGTGAAAGCTAAAGAATTACGACAAGTACAGTGTGGAACATTATAAAACACACTCGTTTGCTAAGGAGGGTTTGGCGCATTAAAAACCATCCAGTTTCTTGTCATGTTGACATGCTCTAGAGGCCAGAGATGCAATAAAACCAGACTTTTGGCAGAATTCGCTCTTGATTTAATTAATAAAATCATTACCACGATACTTGCAATGATCGGATATTTGTCTCTGCTTTATGAGCGTGAGGGCGCCCTACAACTGGGATAATAATTTTCTTCACTTTGCCAGTCCTGAAACACATTTTATGGTAAAGTTTTAAAAGGCTTCGAGATGTTTTACGGGCATCTAATGAACGGAGTAAAATATTGTTTCTTGGCATTGGAAAGGGAGAAATGAAAAAAGACAGATGTTGCCCTCAGCTGTGCTATAAATCATGTGTGTGAGAGAGGACATGTTCACCTGTAAACTAGCATTCACCTGTGCTGAATGTACACTAGTGTTCAAGGACACATTTACATTGACATTTAGACTATATGGAGGCTGCAGGAATGTTACTTTGCAATCAATAAATACGGTCAAATCATATAAAAGCACTGGGGGATACAGTATTTGACCTCTACGCAGCTTCATAAAAAAGCCTTTAATCAAGCCACCTCAATAAATGTGTCAAATAGTCTAGTTAAAAAAAGCCTTAATATCTGAACTTGTACAAGCATTCAAGCAAATAAATATTCTACCATTCAAAGGCAAACATTTCTCACCCTTAGTCTACAGTATCAATTATCACATATGTAAAGCTTCTCATAACTGACCTTCAGATATACAGTAAATAGATTTGCATTTGCAAGTGCTTGCAATACGGAAATCCATTTCCACCTTATATTATTTATAATCAAAGGTAAATTTGACCATTTCGCATCATTTTGAATTTATTTCTTGTAGTTTTGACATTTTATCTCACATTTTCACCTCATATATCACAACTGCAACTCCATAGTTATGTATGTAGAAGGAACATTCAGCAATTAAATATAGGTCAACATCACTGTCAGTTCAATTTTGAATGCTGAACATTTTATGTCAACAAATATACATCAATTGAAATGTATAGAAATTTCGACCCTTTTTGATAGTTTTGAAATGTCACATTGTGTGACTCAAATTACATATTTTTTATTAAAATTACTAATATTTGTGTTAAAAAATTACAAATATAATTTTAATTCTTGTAGTTTTTTCTTGTAGTGTACTTTTTATCTCACATTTTCACCTCATATATCAGAACTTCATGGTTAAACATTTGCATGGAAAGTCAGTTCCGAAAAAAAAATTTGCAAGAAAAATACATGCAATGCAGCATTTAAATATTACGATACCGACATCACAGTCAGTTACATTTTGAATGTTGAATATTTTATCAATGTAAGTGAACTGAAATATATAGAAATAACATTTCAGACATTTCAGATGTGAACTCTGGAAAATAAATATTAAAGTAACATTAAATTCCATACAAACAAAACATCTTCCCATTTAGCTTTGATGCTACAATAGGGTGACCATACGTGCCATTTTCCCAGGACGCGTCCTGGCCAGGATTTCTCTGATCGGTGTATGACATCAAAATACCATACAGACGATTACTTATGCTTTCAAAATGCTCTCGAGGTATTTTGATGTCATACACCGATCAGTCTGCACACGCAAACAAAGCCAAAACCTAGATATGTTAGGCAATATAGAAATCCTGGCCAGGGAAAATGGCACGTATGGTCACCCTATGCTACAAGATATCGCGTCTCACCCTGTAAGCAGCTTCAAACTCACTGAGGCTCTCTGTTATCATGAACTATGTAGAGCAAGATTCTTACAGCTTACAAGCATCATGCTGAGGGGCCCCAGTATGTTTTAAAGAACTACCTGCCAGGCATACAGAGTATGCGCTCTCAAGCAAGACCCACCGCTATGGTCTATCAACACAGACTTAAGCTAATGCTCAACATAAAGCATTTTCCATATCTGATGTTATTTTATAAGATATTACACTTTTTAGAAAGTACAGACATATTTTTAGCAAAAACCCAAATTTGAAAATGTAGTCTTTCTCTTCTGGGAAAATTTAATAAAAATCATGATGACTCATACTGTTTTTTGTGTTTTATTTGTGTGGGGGGGGGGGGGGTGCATCATAGCTACAATGCCTACAACCTTCTTTGATTATCATGTTTTTAATTTATTAATTAAAAATATTTTTTTTGTTAGTTACTTTTTTTGTTACAAAAACAAACTGATATTTTTGGATTAAAAATAAGCATTTTAATCCTACTGGGAATATCCTATTGTTTTTTTTATCAAAAGAACTAGGGTGATGCTAACATACAGGATGGCCTACAAAAATATGTATTCACTGCAGCGCTCTATAACAAATATGATCATCAAAAAATTCATGGGGTCATTAAAACTGTCCTACTGCTAAAATATATTTCTCTTTTTTCCTTTCTGGATATCCCAGAGAGAGAACTGCTTTAAAAGTACTGAATGAAAAATATACACCTAGATTTCCCTTTGAGTTAATGAGATGTAGAAGGAGCCTGAGTTGTACCTGTGCATTCAGGGTTGGAGCATTCTCTGCTCTCCGCCCAATGTCCTCTGCACTCAGATCCCCCATGAGCAGCCGCTGAGCACTGCCTCTTCCGCTGTTGAGTTCCGTTGGCACAGGTCACCGAGCAATCGCTCCACGCACTCCACTCCTGCCACTGCCCGTCCACTGAGGGCGCCCATGCAGAATGCAAAAATAGCATCCCAAATGGAGAAGAGAAAATATTGCAAAGAGAAGTAAGTTTCCTGAGCTGGGTTTGGAAAATTTAGGTTTAGCATCTTCTGATTAAGATGAAATTACCTGCCATATTTATGTCCTAAGTGTGTAATTTCTGTGCCACTAGAGGTACCAAATGGAATCGTAACCATTTGTCTGGTTCTACTTAGCATAACACCTACTCAAATAATAAAGCATGTTGCTTGCAACAGGTTATGGGTTTGAATGCATTAACTAATAAAATGTATGCCTTTCGGTGCAAGTGGCTGTGGGTAAAAGCTTTTGCCATATGCATAAATGTTGAAAACATTAGTGGTGCTTTAGTATTTCATTTGCATGGGTGCAATTACTTTTCTGCGCAATGGTGCATGTGATTTTGGACAAAAAAATAGATAACCCATTTTAGCACCCATTCAGAACACCTTAACATCCTCATAGCAACATGCTAAAAATGAAAATGAACACCTAATGAATTACATAGCAATGCTCTGGAAACCACCTACAACAATCTTGTTTAATGGTGGAACCTTCTGCCCTGGCAAAAACCAATCATATTTGTTCTGTAGAAATGGTATAATCGAGTTATATATGGAATTCTGTTTTGAACAGAAATGACACATTTAACCTTTCAAGGTTAACTTTCTCATATATGGAACGTTTGCTTCTATATAATTTCAGCTAGTATTGAAAAATTCACAATTATTTGAACATGAGTGCTTCAATTAGAATGTAATCAGGATCAGGACAGATATGATATATGAAACAGAGAGAGAGAGAGAGAGAAAGAAAACAGATTGCATACATTTGGAATTAGGGCTACTGACAGCCTGAATAACCCCATTAGCCCCAGGGAAAGAGGTAATAATACTGCCCGAGTGCCTTAGATAGCTCACTAACTAACCAACAAGACCCAGTAAAAGCTACTCCTGTAGTGAATATTCTGGTCTTGTGACGTGTTCCACTCTCAATCCAGAAGAAATTTGTTGAAAAGGGTGGAGGCTTTTCATCACACGTGAGCTCTGAGGTCAACTTTTAAAGACTCAGACCAAAATATGCAAGCCAGAATTTGGCAACAGCACAAGGTCTGAGTGAGCTGATGCTACAAAACACAACACAGAGGTGTAAAGAGGGGCTAATTGCTTCTTTTTTTGCTGAATGGGATGAGACTTTTAAAGCATGAGACCAACAAAGCTAACCAAGATTAGACAATGTGTTACAGTACTTACCCATCTACAGTGTGTAGAAAGTCAAAGTGGCTATCATTCACAGACAATCGTGCTTATGTGATTTTCACTTCAGCTCTATAGTAGGCTGAGTCTAAAACTGTGTTTCTCTCAGCCTTGCAGGTTTTATTGCACGCCACACGTGGTTGCTTTCAACATGCCAAGAAGCCTTGTGAGCGCATCCATTCCCTCTCTGTCCCACGTAATAAACTATTCCGTAATTGATCCTGTAATGTTCCACCGCTGGCAGCTGCTGCTTACTCCCCAGAGCCACCTCCATGTGAGATGAGCTTTGATTCTTTATAGACAGGATCAAACATTGAGGGGCTTCCATGTCAGACCTAATTCCACCAAATCATTCTCAGAGGACGGTGGCTCACAAACGCATCCAAATTAGTGGAGTGGTCTTCAATTTACAACAAAACTGATTACAGTTAGAGAACGGCTAGAAAAGCAAGAGGCTCAGGGGACAGAAGGAGGCATCAGATTCAGAAAAGAGAGAGAATGACTCAGCAGAGAAGTGAGGGAAAGGGAAGGAAGGGAAGGGAAGGGAATAGGAGATGTGAGCTGAGACAAGAAGAGAAGAGGTGAAACAAAAGGAGAAAAGGAGATAACAGAGGAGAAGAGAACTGAAGAAGAGATGAGAAGATATAAGATGAAAAAAGAAACGACAAGCACAGAGAAGATGAGACAAAATGAGACGAGAAGAGACCAGGTGAGAAGAAAAGAGCACAATTGAGACATGAAAGAGAAGAGAGGACAAGAAAACAGAACAGGAGAGGCAAAAGAAGATAACAGAGGAAAAAACACAGATGATATAAGACAAGAAGAGATGAGAAGATGCTAGATGAAAAAAGAAGAACACAGACAAGATGAGACAAAATGAGATGAGAAGACAGCACAGATGATACAACAGAATAGAAGGGAACAATACAGAACGGAACAGAAAGTTTGAGACAATTGGAGAAAAGAAACAAGAGAACAGATAAGGTGAGGCAAGATAAAACAGGATGAGTTGAGATGAGACGTGAGAATGGGAGAAAACAGTGCATCTGAAGCACACAGACCTGGACAGAGGGCAATGTTGCAGAGTTTGCTCTGGGTCTCGGGTCCCTCACACGCTCTTCCTCCGTGCTGGGGTGGAGTGCACATCCGAGTGCGGGTGCGATGACCCCTCCCACAGGTGAAAGAGCAGAGGCTCCACGGAGACCACTCTTCCCACACACCGTGCACTGCCAACAGAGGACAAGAGTTAAGACACATACACACCGCTCATGGCACGCACACACAAACACACACCCCCACACACAGCCTCATTCAAATGCAGCAGTGAAACACCTCCAGCACCGACTCAGCGAGCCTTTTTATCAACAGTTGTTACACAGCCGCAATGAATCCAAACAACTGCATCATTTCCCCTTTTCTTTACAATTTACCTTTCCCAATCCCATACCACTCCACCCCCATCCCGAGCACCACGGCTGATGACATTCTTTTGTCTTAGCGTGATGAAAGACGTGCCGGGAGGGCTGAATTGGTCTCGGCTCTCTTAGCGTACTTATCAAAGTCCCAGGTGTACGTTCTGCGCACGCACTTACTGGGGCTTAATCCAGTCATCAGTGTCAAGACTGCTGGGCACCGTTTCCCCTCCAAACGTCAAATCCCCCTCTCTAATGCTCTTACTGTATAATGAAAACTCCAATCCCACTCAAAGAGCATTAATTAAAAACAAACTCTCGTTGAAGCACTCATGGAAAGCCGGCCTTTGCAAAAACCAGCTCAATGACTTTTCCATTAACAGGAAGCTTTTTTACTTGCGGTTGGACTCTCATCTATAAGGGGATAAGAGGTGATGTCACCAAACATACGCCATTCTTCTTACTTTATTTAAACGTATACAGATGGACTAGATGAGTAGTTTTACACAAGTGGGTTGTGAACCAAGAATAGGTTTTAAATACTAACTACATAACAGTGCAGTTGCAATAGCAAAATAAATAGGTTTCTAAAAAAGCATTTTTGTTGTCTACAAAGTCTATAGATCCAGTTCTACTGTATTTTTGCGCAAATTTATTTGAAGCTACCAAAGAAATTAATAATTTTATTCAGCAAAAATGCTTCATATTTTTGGTTTCCACATTTTCAACATTGATAATAATAATAAATGTCACTTAAGAACCAAATCAGCATATTATAAGGATTTCTGAAAGATCATGTGACACTGAAGACTGGAGTAATGGCAACTGAAAATTCAGTTTGCCATCACAAAAATGTATTACATTCTAAAACACTATAATAGAAAATGAGCAAGAGGGTGGCTAACTGCACACTGATCCACTCAAGACTAGGGGGGGGGGGGGGGGGGGGGAGGAAGGAGGAGAATGACATTTTTAGGTGAACTATCCCTTTAACTCTGCAAGACAGTGGCCCTTCAAGAGCAGGATTGGACAGTCACGGAAAAACACAGCACGCTATATAAACACTCTTTTTAGCATTTGTAGTGAAGAAGAAACCATTTCATTCTTACCTTTATAGTCCAAAACATCCATTCTGGAGAACTTGATCATACAGTCGGCAATAAATGTGAATGTGCAACGCTAGAACTATTATGAAAACATGCTGCGTTCGTCCAATCAGTGACACTGACACCACAAATATGCAAATAAGGACTTTTACCTGGGGTTTAGGAATGTGCAGTGTGAAACGACAGCTTATGAATACCCAGGATTAAATTTAAACTCTGGGTAAAATATAAGCAGGTGAAACTTGAAGCAAGATAACCCAGCATTCCACTTACCTGGGGTTTAGAATGACCCAGGGCTAACTCTTTCACGTGTGAAAAGCCCTTTTGTGTAGGAAAAAGAGCAAAAGGGTGGCTAACTGCACACTGATCCACTCAAGACTAAAAAGTCTACAAAAACATGTTTTTAATTTTTATAAATTGCATTGTGCAAAAGTGCAGAGTGCATTAAGTGAGCACTGAAGATAGCAATGTGCTGAAACGTTTGCTTGCCTGCTCGTGTCCATCTGTTTTTAATTCACATGCACTTTGCACGTTTGCACAATGCAATTTATAAAAATTAAAAACATGTTTTTGTAGACTTTTAGTCTTGAGTGGATCAGTGTGCGGTTAGCCACCCTCTTGCTCATTTTCAAGTATCCTACTGGCTTTTAATCAATAAATGCAGCCTTGGTGAGCATAACAGACTTCTTTCCAAATGTATTACAAAAAAAATTAAATCTTATTGACCAGTAGACTAAGTTAGGTATGCCAACATGGTCAGCTTATTTGACATCCTCTCATCAATGAAAACCAAGAACAAAACTACCCAAGACAAAATTAAATTTAGTTAATTTTCCTATTCAGCCATATTATTTTGGTTTATTTTACTATATCAAAATGCTTTCCTTTAAGTAAATTTTTGTTCACATTTAAGTATTGTGTTGGATCACCACTTGATATTCAATGTAAAAAAATAAAAAAATTAAAAAAGCAATAACCATTTGAGGCATTTCAAATAAATTGCCCCATTTTTCAACCCCTCATAAAACCAGTGCACCAGTGATTTGTCTCAAAAGATGTCCATAGGGGAACGTGGATTAGCTGGGATGAGTTACGTCTTTATTTTGAACTCTTCTATATATGCAGCCGAATATATAAACTTTCCAAAACAATAAAACACATACCGTAGTGTGAAAGCCTTGTGTACTAGTACATAACTTATTCCCCTAATGCTTTTATTTTGCCGCATAACACAGTAAAATGATGTAAATAAGGGTTGCCCTCAAAAGAAAAGCAATGTTGTGCTCAATTAGGCTGCTGTCCAAGCTAGTCCAGAGGGGGAATAAATGGTTTTATTTGAGCATTCAAGAGACATGGTGGTCTTATTTTCAATCCCTAGCCGTATGTCATTTATATGTGCCTTCAAGCCTTTTCCAACACCAAACTGATCTGAAAAGCTTTTTTCAGTTGGTTAAAAAAATTCTGCACTCAATGGCAAACGTGAACACCATTTTTAATCTGGGATGCAAAGCAGCTCCATTAACATTGCTTAAATTTATGTTCAGGAAAGTTAATTAGCAACATACATAAATCCTTCCCTTGACTGTAAGCAAAAAGTGAAATTTCATAGCCGTTTTAGCATCTTAGTTACTTTTATATGGTATGGTCAAAGATTACTGTTTATAAACCAAATTATTAAAGCTAACAATAATGATTTCACTATGTGAAACTATGATAGCATATATGTAAGTGAGATATGCCTGTATATTTTTCATAGCATAGGGAAAGGCTGTATATCTATAATGCTGTGTAAACCACATCGATTCAGCCATATAAAAAATCTTAAAAGAGCTGAATTGCCATTTTAGAGCTAATGGTGTAAACAAAACAAGTCTCTTTTCATGCCCTTTTACTTAAAATAAAAATCCAGTTAGCTTGTGACATAAGTTCAATGCTGCTGAGGTAACATGTAAACTTATTCATTAATTTACCGATACCAAAAGTCCTAAAAGGGCTGAACTGCATTTTCAGAGCTTGTGATGAAGGGAAAAAACAACAAGCCTCTCTTCACTTCCTTTTACTTGAAATAAAAATTCGGTTAGCCGGTGACAGCAAGTTCAATGGTGCTGAAGTATCGTTGAGCCCAACTCCATTAAGATGGCACCTCCGAAAATGATGAATTAAAGGTCGATACCTCCAGTAATTAAAGATTTGAAAACAAGAGGGTAATTCAGGTCGCTTTTCTGCCCACAGGGGGATAGATTCGTCTTTTTTCCCTTTCTTCTACATTTTTCTTCTGCATGCACCAACAAACACTCTTCTGACAAGTTTCGCTTTGTGTTTGATCAAGGCTTGTGTTGGAATTGTATAAAACGCTCGGCTAAGTCATACATTGAGAAGAGGAACATGAAAAGAGTGACAAAAGAAAGAAGGAGCAACATAAAACCAACACATGACAAGATGAATGACCAAATACACAACTGGAAAAATCAGAGCAGATGCAAAGATCACCAATAATTATGAAAATAATAATAATACCTTTAACATAAAAAATGTAATATGAAGCAATGAAAGCAAATAAACAAATAATGACAGCAATTTGCTTGCCCTGAATGATGAAAGATACAGATTCTGAAGGACAGTCCAGTGTCTGTGACTAACACTACCTGGGCAGGGGGCAGTGTTATTGCACACCCTGGATTCTCTTAAAGGGCCGCTGCAGTGTGATCCGTAAGGTGAGACACATGTTCTTGTTCGCACCTGCGACCCTTGACCGCATGTAACTGAGCAAGAGCTCCACTGGGACCACTCCTCAGCACCAGGGTCACCTGTAGGAGAAGGGTGACACCAGTTAAAAGCAGTAACATGGTCATGTGACACCCAGAGGGGGTGGAGCCAGTAGGAGCAGGAGGGGCCTCAATAAGTTACACACTAAAAAGCCACAGTAAATCTTAAAGGCTCCAAGAGCAATTGGAACAAGCTCAAAAGGAGCATCTTATACAGTATATTGGATATGATCCTGCCTGAATAACTTTCAGGGCTCAGTTGTCCCGGAGCAGTAACACCCGGTTTGCTAATGGTAAATAGAGATGTACTATTCTGCAAAGTTTAGATCAAACACACGCATCAATTTAGATCCTTGATAAGCTTGGTTAAGATGAGTTTGGTTAGAGTTACAGCTAAGCTGCTTCCAAAACTGGAAAAAAAAGCTAACATAATGTCTACTACATTTTCATTTAATCAGAAATAGTCTGAATAGTTCACTCAAAAATGAGTCTTCATTTATCCACCGTCAGGTCATTTCAAATCTGTATGACTTTCTTATATTTTAAGGAATGCTTCAGCCGATTTGTCCATAAAATGCATTTCAGAACAACACTTGATATTACTGACTTTCACTGTATGGACAAAAAAATAAATAAATAACCGGCATTTTTCAAAATACCTTCTTTTAGGTTTCACAGAAGAAAGTCCTTCAGGTTTGACATGATATGAGGGTAATAACTACTGACAGAATTTTTATTTTTGGGGGAACTGTCCCTAATTATTTCTCACGATCCTCTGTGTGCGGTTGCTTAAAGGAATAAAAATGATGTCTGACAGAGCAATTGAAAGTTTAGTTTATAAATATAATTTATAACTTATGGGCCCGGTTTCATAGACAGGGCTTAGCCTAAACCAGGATTAGGCCATAGTTCAATTAGGACATTTAAGTCATTTTTTATAAATATGCCTTAGAAAAAAAGCATTACTGGTGTGCATCTTAAGACAAAACAAAGGCACTGACATGTTTTAAGATCAGTCAGTGCAAGTTTCTTTCAGTTGAAACAGCTCAGATTTACATTTAAGTCTAGGACTAGGCTTAAACCTTGTCTGTGAAACCGGGGGATGGTGATATAATTTAAAACGTAATAATTTACGATTCCATTTCAGCTGAGAAATAAGCATTAAATATTCATTAGATAATCTCTAAGCTCACTTGAATTTGTTCTAGATCATTAGACATCATGGTGTGGTTTCAAACCAGTTTCCTTAGGAAGTACCTTCATACGGACATGCTGTCTGAGAAATCGCTGACTGACTGGGAGGCAAGACATCTAGCTTTGGTTTCAGACAGCTAAACTCTGCAGGAAGGAAGATTTCCAGGAGCACAAATGTGCAAACTTGTCCTGGTATGGCCCATATATGACACTGGCATTAAACATAATACAATCTACAAATATATTTAAAGATTGCATTGACAGATCACAATAAAAACATTCAAAATCCTGATTTATGAATGATTAATACATTTATGCATATTCAAAGCAGGATCATATCCATTTTACTGTGTGGCCACAAAACAGATATCATAATGGGAGCTTTTATTATATTAGCATCCTAAAAATACTAAGGTTTAACTTCATATTTATATTTTAAAATCATGCATGCAACCAATTAGATGAAATAAACTGAAAGGAAAAAGGCAAACAAAACTAATAAGATGAAATATATAAAATATGATATACTATGCAGAATGCATGCAACATGGCTTCTAAAAGTTAGAGAATGATCTTTGATGAGAGTTAGTTTTCTACTAACTACAGCTGCACAGAAGAACAGACCTCTGGCCCTCAGTCTAGACTGTGCTTCACTCTTTTAGATCTCTGATCTCCTGGATTTATGCTAAAGCTTTTTGTCTCTTTGAAGCAAAATCAATTAGAATTGGAGATTGTCAAGAAAAAAGGGAATGGTTTGCGTTTCCCCCAACATATTCAGCAGATCACAGCAATTTTCGGTAGCGCTGGTCACATTTGAGAATCACATGATGGAAGAACTTTCTATGTTGAATCCAAACAATCAAAACTGTTAGAAGTTCCATCTGATTATGGTTCTGAGCTGGAAACATTATGATTTACCAACTGTAATGTCAATTCAATCACTGGCATTCTTTGCTGGCATTGACTGCTACATAAAGTTGTTATAATTGTTGATTTAAAAGCATAGGCTGCTTTCTGGCAAACACATAGAGCTTAGCTTTGTGTTTTATTTCTGTTCACTAAATACTGCACTCTGGATCGCCTGTAATTCCCAATGAGCAATTGCATGGCCAGACCAAGCACTAATAAGACATTTGATTTTCAGAGAATTTGACACTGCCAAACATTTGATAAGCAAGAAAACTGTCTCCCTAAAAGCACATGTTATCAATATCCACAATATAAAAATCCAATTGCCATGTGATGCTGAATAAAGGGATAGTATGCAAAGGAAAAAGTTGAACTTAAACTTTTAACGTTTTAATATTAATCAACAAATAATTTGTTTCATTAAGTTTTATTTATTTTCTATTTTTTATTATTTTTAAGTCAAGTCCCGTTAAAACAGTTCAGTTAAAGTCTAATGAGAATGAAATAATTTAGGCTTATATGCTCAAAATATACGCAACTTTCTGGTTGCTTGTAGACTCAAGATTGGTTTGTTTGTACTAACTTCCAGAGATTCTACTGGCAATGACCTTGGGTACATATGGACAATTTCCTCTGCCATTCTCAGCGATTAGATTAGATTGAAAGGTGGATCAACTCTGGATGAAGTGATACAACAACTCAGACAATCTGAAAATGAGAAACTAAATGCAGGATGAATGACATTCTGTTCAGATTTTCATTTATAAATGGAAATAAATAAACACATAAAAGACCGATTGGAATGGAAACAAGGTTGTTAAGGTTTAGTATGCACAATGATTTGCAACTTAAACGATGTTAAGCGCTACACAAATGTCACAAATATACAAAAAGGTGCAAAACTTAAAACGTCCCTCCCCATAATAGCTACAGATCATATAGAGTTCATGCAGGAAACAAACAAAAAAGAAAAACAGGGAAATTAAAGCAAAGGAAAAGAAAGAGAAACATCTTCAGGTTTCTACAGGCCTTGTTTTTTTTGGCACTTTAAAGGTAATATATCAGGGTTATTTCATCTCTAAACAGCTGGATAACCACACATGTTTACTGTTAAATGTTAACCATTTAATTGTCTTGTAGTTAATCATAGGTTTAACAAGTCTGGGTTATATTTATTGCTTTTAGTGCTTAAAAAAGTCATAAAAACTGTCAAAAACAAATAGAAACCAGAAGCCCAATTGAGCATGGTGTCAGTTAGCAGAAATGGCCAATTCTGTTGTTTTTCCTTAACGCATTAACCAAGTAGAAGAGGGACAAAAAATAAATATGATAAATAAACATTGTCACTTAAAGGTGCAGTACAGAAGATAGCATGCAAGTGACTTAAGATGAAAATTAAGTTTAGTTTACATAGGAAAGGAAAGAAGCATAACTATTGTATTACCAGTTTGTGCCATAAATTTAGCAGATTCATCTCGCTCCTGTAGGCCCTTTGTGTCATGTACTGATCTTGGCCGCTGACTTTTTACAGTATGTTCTCCGATCATTCCATATTCTAGGGACAGAATAGAGGTTCATGAAAACTAGGCTTTGATACAAAATCTTCAGAAAGAGAGAGAGAAAAGGGAAAAAAGAGCTTAGCACAATTCTGGAACGTAGAGGTGGCTCGCAGTACATGGCTTTAAAACAAAATAAAAGTATATCACACATGGACAGCTTTATTTAACTTGTCACTCTTGTCTTTTAGCTTTAGCCTTTCTAGGAAAGCAAAGAACAGTGCACAGAACGGTTTATCAGTGGTGAGCTGGGAGCATTATTTGAGCTTAGAAGCACAGCTATGACACATAGAAACACATGCAAAATCAACTTACACTGGCTTTTTAACAAGATGTTGAATTAACCTCCACCCCTCCCCTCCCGAAAACAAACAAAAAAGAAAGGATAAAAAAAGAGAAAGGAAAATGTGTAAGCCATTGGAAAGCCACAGAGGAAGGAAGGGGGGTGGCGAGGGAAGGGGGGTGTCATGGACATGCTAGATTGATCCACAGTGCCTGCAACAGATCCAGGCTTTTGGAATAATTAGTTAGTTAAGACCCAGAATTAGTAAAGGAATTATGTGCTGTTATATCTAACAGAATATCAAACGTTGAATTATCTCGCAATTGTATGCTAAGCTGTGTATCACTCGTTTTGGATTAATTACACTCTTTTCAGCACAACACTATGGCTAATTTTTCCTTCTTCTTATTATAATCAATGAATTCATTAAAACTGTTTTGTCAGAAACAAATACAGTGTCCTGATTCGAAAAGCCTCGCTACAAGCGTAATTGTTTCCACTCTATGAGTTGCTTTTTGAAACTTCCTTCTATTTTTACTGGTCGCAATCCATGTATAAAGCATCTTTAGGGGGTTGCAGTCGGGTTTTCAATGCATGTTTCATAGATGGAGCTGAAACAGATCAAAAGCAATAAGACACAGCCATGCTTCCATTGCTAATTGGGAATTACTTCATTGATGTGAGAGGTAAAAGAAGGCACGATGTCTTTTACTTCAAGATTTTTAACGCCAGAAGAACAGAAAACTTGATGTTACCACAGCGAGAAGCAAAGCTTTGAGGTGAAAGGCTGTGTATTTAAAAGCTACACTGAGTATAATGCAGTTATGGAGGACTTCAGGCCTGCGGCAGCAAGAGCCATTTGGTCCTACACATGTTTATGGCTCTGTTCTTGACCCAGGTGGGCCTGGAGCATTTCCCCACTCCCTTTCTGCTTTCTCCAGTACAACTTAAAAATGCAAACAAATTCGAAGCACTGCCTCGTCCATGCCCACAGAACATAACATACTGTTTAAATTATAGCAATGTCACACTGCAACATAAGTCACAAAAACATTGTTAGTGTGGGTGGCAAGGGGCTGTCCTCAAGCAACACATTTTTATTTCTCTGACACAATGCCATACTGGAACTGCATTTGAAGATGTTACAAGTGGGAAGGTGTGTAGGGATAATAAATAAGGAATTTTATAAATTTTTCTACTTCAGTCTTGGCATGTTCACCCAAAAATGACATTTTGCTGAAAATGCTGCTGAAAAAAGATGTAAATGAGTTTGATTCTTCATTGGAATAGATTTGGAGAAATTTAGCATTACATCACTTGCTCAGTAATGGATCCTCTGTAGTGATTCGCTGACAAACAGCTGATCCTTAAAGAGCTGATAAAACAGCACAATACTCTCCATGACTCCAGTCTATCAATTAACATCTTGTGAAGCAAAAAGCTGTGCGTTTATAATAAATCCATCATTAAGATGTTTTTCACTTCAAACATTGCTTCCGGCTAAAAGTACTCTATCCATTATACAGCTTTCTCCAGTGAAAAAGCCATCTTGTCTAATCAGGAGAGATATATGCACAGATCAAGCACTGTTTACAAGTGAAACAGCCCAAAACAGTTCCAAACAAATATGTGGGTGGATTTTGATGTGAGAGGACAACAGTGTATGTACTTTTTCACTGGAGGAAGCGTTATTATGGATTATAGACTTGTATTGTGGCCAGAAGTTAAGTTTATACGCCTTAATGATGGATGTGTTTTTTACAAACACACAGCTTTTTGCCTCACACGACATTAACTGATGGACTGGATTATTGAGATGCTTTCATTCTGACGGCACCCATTCACTACAGAAGATCCATTGGTGAGCAAGTGACGTAATGTTACATTTCTTCAAATCTGTTCCGATGAGGAAACAAACTCATCTAAATCTTGGATTTTCCAGCAAACTTTCATTTTGGGTGAACTATTGCTTTAACTGCGTATCTCGTCCAAAAATGAACATTCCGTCATCATTTAATCATGTTATTCCAAACCCATATGACTTTTTCTTCTTCTGCGGAACACAAAAAGTTAAAATTGAATGAATACCAGCATTGCTGTGCTGTCAAGCTCTGAAATGAAAAAAGCATCATAAAAGTAACATAAAAGTGGTCCATAATCAATGGTTTCCAATACTATGTTGGACACTCAAAATATCCTCTTTTGTGTTACACAAAAGAAAGCCCCACAGGTTTGGAACGACATGAGCAATGAGTAAAGCATAACAATTTTCATTTTTGAGTGAACTGTCCCTTTAACACCAGGATACTTTTGTACCTTTGATAACTGAAAGCTATAATCTTAATTTTCTCAGCTGAAAAGGCCAGTATGGTCATCAGTATATACTTTGAGATTACTGGGGCTCTCATTAATTAGCTTATTAACTTCCATGGTTATCCAAAAAAACAAAACAAAAAAACAAGCCAGGCTGGTTTATACTGGTCTTTTCAGCAGAGATGACAAAATATATTTTGGGAGACAAGCAATATACTTCGGTATCAGAGAGAATGCATCCATGTCGTCAGAAAGAGACATTCCCATTAGAGACAGTAAGCTATATCAGGCTACATTGATTGAGTCTCAATTGTTCAAAGGAAGAATAACAAACCCTCTACAGACGTAATGAATCCTTTAGCATCACTTCTACAATAGAACGTTTCCATGGCAATAGTGAGTCAGAGAAAGAGAGGGGGAGAAAAAACAAAGTTAAAATAACTATTTAAAAAGGGATTCATTAGTGTAGATCCATGGTATTTTGCTTTCCGTCAGCAAACAGTTATAAGTCAGTGAAATGTCAAGAAAATGATGCTAATAGTCATTCACATATAGCAAATATCACTTATGTGGATGATTAGCAGTATTTTAATAGAGCTTGTTATTTAATGTTAACACTCTTTTGCTAAATTTGAAATCACATGCACAAATAAATAAAGGCCTACATGCATTATTAATCATTAGGATTGAGAGCTGTGTTTGCAGTTATATTGGAATGTTTAATTTCTTTGTAATTCATTTCAATTAACAGATTACAGGATCTACACTATGACTGAATTTTCCAGACCAACTAAAGGGTCACATGACTTCATGCATCGCCTATGAGTACTGCCATACATTTAAAGATTATAAAGGTTCATAATATGTATCTGTTTGGAAATCAAGTGAGGACAGTTTTGTAACATTTTTGTGAGATTACAGTGAGCGGTCAGAGGGGCAAATATCACCCAACTGATGAAGAGGTCATCAAACACGTCCCCAACATCACTGAACAAGAGGTGCTGCTGAAAGCTGTAATCAAGGCAGCTGTGAGGTTTGAAGTGTGAAGAATACTGTGAAGAATACAGAGCTCTTTAGTCGGTGTGACTGCACATGAGACCTTTGCTCTGAGAGAGTCCATCTGTTAGACAGAACTGTTCACTAAAAATAAGGGTGTTTCAAATATGGGCAACTTTTGACCCTGTCGAAATGACTCTCTGAAAAAAAACATACTTTTCACATTCTCACTAGTTTGTTTATTGCGTCTAGTAACAGTGGATAAATGTGTCATGGAAAAATGTTGTCTTTTTTGCCCCCCCACCAAGTCACCGTTCATTTTATGGTGGAAATTACTTTTTTTATTATTATTAAATTGCCAATCCTTTGTCTCACTAAGAATTTCATAGCTAGTGTTCTATGTGTCCTAAAAAGCTTTTTTTCACACTTTTTGCATGATTTGTCAAAATTACAGCTTCACTACAAATGACACATAGTAAAAAAAATCTGTTCACAAGTGATATTTACTTTGCTTTTCCTTTGTTGTCTTCACACCTCACATTTCTCATATTTCATCTCAAGATGTTCTTTACTGACACTGCTGTCTCCTTGGTAACCAAGTATAACTTTTGAATAACTTTAAAAATATGAAAAGCAAAGACTGGTGCATCATTGGATTATAAAAGGGCAGTCATACTTTGGGAAATATAATATGCATTTTCACTCACTCACTCACGCACTCACTCACTCACTCACTCATAAATAAATAAATAAATAAATAAATAATGTTTGGCTCATGGAGATTATTTTTGTTTAAAAATATATTTTAATACTTTACATTTTTTGTACAAAATTTTAACCATGTCCCTATATGTATCTCGTTTATTATTGTAAATCTTTGTTGTAGAAGTACACGATGAATGCAGATTAAAATTTTCAGAGGTAATTTTAATGCGACCTACATATAACTCTACGAGTTTTAATAAAAATCAAGAGCTTGAGATAAAAGTTCCAACAGTTGAAGAAACAAACATCATTTCACCCTTAGCACAGTTATTACTTACATGGCTCTTTATTTATTTTTATGCTTGTTTGGTGTGACCCGTGTGCTGCTTTCGCCTTGATATACAGAAGTGCAAAGCTCTCGAGGTCTTGAACTACCAAAAAAAAAAAAAAACATCCTGTGAGATGATGCAGGGCCACAATAAAGAAGAAAAAAGAAACAGTCCTCGCTTGATTTATGGTTCAAGAAAACTCAGCTGCAGCTACCACTGTCCTTTGTTCCATCGGAGGTTCAGTACGGGTGCCATCAGAACACAGCCAGTGGCCCACAGCAGCTGTGGTGATCAAACATGAACCAGAGGCCCGAAGCTCAGCCCAAATGTTCGGCTTCTGATGCTGGAACAGCAAGAATTCCAAAGTAGCTAC